TGGGTCTAGAGTGTGTCTGGGAGCGACTCGATTCCCGGTCAGGGAACCAAATGTTGGACTCTAGCGTCCAAACACCGAGAAGGAGTCGCCCCCAGAGACCATCTCACACACCACAGCCGATGCAAAAGCATGAGGATTTTATTAATTCTGTCATGACAGGGGCCCCCAGCATTCGGGAAGCCGAGGGACCTCGAATAGCGGGTACAGTCTACTTTTAAAAGGGCCACAGAAGCAAGGGGGGTTGTTCTTTGACTATTCTGATTGGCTTATTTGAAAGGGCTATTACCAATAATTGACTGGGGAGCTGTTGCCAGATCAGATGAGGTAAGAGGTCATTTTGACCCCGTTTCCCAGGGGACCGAACCAAAGCATACGTATATGGGTAATTGTTCAGGAACTGAGTACATGTGAGTGTAGCTGTTAGGTCTTTGGTTCCCAAGGCAGGAGGGGAAGCACTATGGCACAGAGGCTGAGAGGATACAGAACTGTCAAAAATGGCTTCAGGATTGTCTTACAGCTGGTGTGAAAAACTCTGTTTTAAAATGGAAGGCAGGAGAGTTGGGGAGATAGTTTGGTAGGTAGAGCCTTTGCCAGGCAAGTGTGAAGTCCAGGGTATGGAACTTCAACACCTATATAATTAATGAATGAGCAGTGATCCTCACCTGTAATCCCAGCACTTGGGAAGCAGAAACAGGAACCCCAAGGCAACAAATTCTGCAGGAGTGGAACTGAACAAGACACCTAGGACAGAGAGGGCCTGAGGAAACAAGCTCCATCAGGAGTAAAAGCCAGGAGCAAACCCAGTCCTGGGAGCCAACCCAGTCCTGGAACACTGGCGGATCAGGACTGAACCAGTGACCAGATCCAGAGTCAGCGATCTACACCAGAACAGCGCCAACTCCAAGCCAGGGACTTCTGCAAGAGGAGATCGAGACCAGGATTTACAGAAACAGAACAAAGCTAGCAGTCTAGGCCAAAGTAGGCCTGAGGCAGCAAACTCCAAGGGAGCAGAGCAAAGCACAGGAGCACTGAGCTACCTCCAGGAACAAGGAGTAACCAATAGGTTAACTAGAACTGTGGCACTGACTGTACCATGAGGAACAACCATCTGAGCTTTGGATTCACTGGCACCTACAAGATTATTCAACAGAATCTCAGACAGCCCCAACCACACCTATTAGAGGAAAAGATGAGTAGACAAGGTAAGATCACACATAACACCACAAAGAGCAAAACAACACCAGTAAAAGGCCTGGCGGTGGTGGCGCACACCTTTAATCCCAGCACTCGGGAGGCAGAGGCAGGCGGATCGCTGTGAGTTCGAGACCAGCCTGGTCTACAGAGCTAGTTCCAGGACAGGCTCCAAAACCACAGAGAAACCCTGTCTCGAAAAACCAAAA